TTTTTTTTTTTTTTTTTTTTTTTTTTTTTTTGTTTTCGATGTTTTCGGTCTCTATTTGACTTTCTTTCACTTACATTTTCCATTTATTTCGAGAATTCGATCTCTTCTTCTTGTTTGGTTTTTGTTTTTTTGGTTCTCCTTTTCCGATTTCCGCTCTTGAACCGCATTCAGTTTAGTTAATTTGGATCAGTTTTTGGAAATGAGCATTCGATTGAGGTTTTTTTATTTTCTTTTGTTTTTGTTGCAGTTACAGAGCGTTTGATGAGTATGAAGGGATTGAAGTTGCTTGGAACCAGGTCAAGCTCTGTAACTTCCTTCAATGCCCTGAAGATCTTGAGAGGCTATACTCTGAGATTCATCTTTTAAAATCATTGAAGCATAAGAACATTATGAAATTTTATACCTCATGGGTCGATACTGCAAATAGGAACATCAACTTTGTTACTGAAATGTTCACCTCTGGGACTTTGAGGCAGTAAGAATGCTTTTGAACATTCATTCTCACCCTTCACTTTCTACAAAAAGGCCTTATTCCTTCTTGGTTTCTGCTAAATTTTTGGTCGGTTCTCTTCTTACAGATATCGGCTAAAACATAGGAGAGTTAACATTAGAGCAGTGAAGCGATGGTGCAGACAAATCTTGAGGGGTCTTCTCTATTTGCATAGCCAGAACCCCCCTGTGATCCACAGAGATCTCAAGTGCGATAACATTTTAGTTAATGGTAATCAAGGAGAAATTAAAATTGGAGATCTTGGTCTCGCTGCTATTCTCCGGAAATCGCATGCTGATCATTGCGTCGGTATGATTATCTTCTTCAAATTCTGTGAAATTTTGGTTGAAATGAGGATTGATCGAGATCCTGTAACCAATTCTTCATCCATTTCATCTTTGGCTTTCTGATTCTTAATGCTTTTCCAATGAATCTTTTTCCTTGAATTGCTGGTGAGTTCTTGTGACAGAAGTCTGTTTGTTAGATGCTTATTATTATTGTTGTTACAAAACAGGGACACCAGAGTTCATGGCTCCTGAAGTATATGAAGAGGCTTATAATGAATTGGTAGACATTTATTCTTTTGGGATGTGTGTTTTGGAGATGGTTACATTTGAATATCCATATAGTGAATGTAATCATCCTGTTCAAATCTATAAGAAAGTAATTTCTGTAAGATCTCCTTCTCCCAATGAGCATATATTTTTCTTTAATCCATTATGTGCTGGACGAAAAAGTTGATTCCTTATCATGCTTTCTAATTGTAGGGAAAAAAACCAGATGCCTTATATAAAGTGAAGGATCCGAGCATGCGGCAATTTGTTGAGAAATGCTTGGCACCAGTCTCTTGTAGACCTTCAGCAAGGGAACTTTTGAGTGACCCTTTTCTCCAAATTGATGATTGTGAAAGTAAGTTACAACTTTCAGGATGTCCGAGAGAACTCAACGGTATTGCTTTTACTACAGCACACCCTTTCCTTGAACGACAAGGAAGTTTCAGCTCGATTAATTACTGTTTGGAGGCCTCAGATGAATGGAGGTGTCGTTCGGTTCAGACTGAACCTGATGGGTTTGAACTTTTTGAGAATGATGATGATGACCAATTGGAAAACCTTGATAACAGTATTAAGGGGAAGATAAGAGAAGATGGCAGCATTGTTCTTAGACTTAGGATTGCAGATAAAGAAGGTAGTGGCATATTTATTTCCTCCTTTTGTCTTTGGTCATGGAATGCTTGATTTCTATTAAGAGTTACAGAAATGTTCACTTGAAAAATGTGGAATATGTGCAGGACGGATTCGAAACATTTACTTCCCGTTTGACACCAAGAATGATACAGCATTAACGGTTGCTACTGAAATGATAGCAGAACTTGATATTACCGACCAAGATGTGATCAAGATAGCTGAAAAAATTGATGGGGAAATTGCTTCCTTGGTACCTGAGTGGAAGTCGGGGCCTGGAATAGATGAAACACCTCGTATCTCTTACGATGGTGGCTGTCAAAGCCACGACGCTGCTAACCATTCATGTGATCATAGTTTGATAGGGAATAACCAAAATGGAGAAAAACTCTATCAGATTTTAAACTTGAGCACAGTTGAACGTGCTTCGGTGCACGAACTTTTCAAGCAGGACTCCCTCAAAGCTGATCCGCCTCCAGAACCTGTGGTAGAGAGTCCACCAAAAGTGTCAAGCCAGCATTATCAGCCAAACTCAGTCCTCCTTGAAAATCCAGCTCTTGGTTCTCATAGTTTTAGGCATAGCCATTCTAATCAAAATTTCAAGAAAATAGGCCAGTCGATCATTGTTGGGGATGACAAAGAAAAAATACTAGATAAAAATGCCATTGCAAGAACTTCACTCAGAAGCTTGCTGGGTTCCCGATCGCTGTCAACAGTTCCGTCCTATCGTGAAGATAAATTTGCATCCCAAATTCATCGAGAAATTAGATGGCTATGGAATTGAGAAAATTTAGAGAAATCAGTTGGAACTTTTCTTGCTGCCCCTCTAGATTGCAACAAACAATTGAGGATGCAGCTGAAAACATGGTTTTTATCAGATAAGACTGTGAAGATTGAAATCATAGTTGGTGTGAATAATGTCATTATAGCTGCCCCGTTCAGATGTCCAAAGGACCCGAAATTGCGAGGCGTTTGTTAGAATCTTCAACTGCAGAGTATATTTTCAAGAGTTCATATTACAGGCACATTGCCTCCATAGACCAACTCTCTACTCATAGATGCTGTTTTTATGTTGCACAGAAACATGTAAGTTACTCTCTTCCCTTCTGAACTTCTTACTCTTACAGTCATACCTTTCTTTCTTCTTGATCATTGCTCTGCTTCACATGATATTACAAATTATAATGGTTATTCTCTTATATACAATGAAGAAAGGTGCAAGTTTTCACTTTAGCTATAACTAGCTTGGTTTCAATGAAACTTTGTTCATTATCCATGAGATTTAAGGTTGGCCGAGTTTGACATGATTTTTCAGTGGAAAGTGAGAGTGTTTTTAGTTGACTAAAACCAAATGTTTTGATGATTAGTTCTGCCCTTTTCTTTTATTTTTTACTTTCTTGCTGGAGTGGTTTCCAATCAAGTATTTGGATAAAAAGCACTCTTGCAAACAGGATTGACTTCAATTCAACTGTTAATGTGCATTATTTTTCAAACTATGGGGTCCAAAGCTGCTGATCTGAATACAAGTTGCGAACTTTAAGTCCAAATTTGTATAATTTTGCTATGGAAATTGTATGGATGGACGAAAGCTGTATTGAGTGGTAGAGATGATTGGAGTATTTGTCATACGTTACATCTTTTAGAGGAAAAAACTTAAAAAGTCCACTCTTCTTGCATTTATTTGCTACCTTTAGATGGGATGAGTTTATGGCTCAATAAATTTGTAATGGCCCACTTTTTCATTATTGGTTTTAAAAAATATTACCTACTTTGTTATTGTCCATTTGATTAGAGGACATATTAAAGTGTTTATCTAAGCTAGTTGGCATTTATGCATAGGTTCAGGTTGAATGAGAACACATTAGATATTTTCCTAAACTAGTATGTCATTGAGAGTATTCAACTTGAAATGTAAGAAATAGATTAGTTTTAATGGTGAATCTAAGCACTAACTTATATTATGGATCAAATATCAAAAATTTGAATCTTTTATTCTAATTATTTTATTTTATTTTCTGACGTCGCACATTTTAAATAACTTTTTCTCACCTATCCCATTCTATCCAGCTTTTTATAATTTGGATTTACTTTTTCTTAATTTTACGTTCTAAAAATTTTAAAAATTTAAATCATGGAAAGCACTAATTTGAAAGGCGTGGTGGGTGGGTTGTCCCTCTCAAAGCACGCACGTTCAATTAGCAACACAATTTCTGCTAAATTACTTATTTTTGTTATTAAACACGTTTTAAGAAATTCCATCCATTTTTAATTGTATTTAATAATTCTCTAATATTCCGCATTCTTTTAACTTAATTAATTTAGATATACTATAGAGATTAAATTTTACATTTTTCTAAATTAAGAAAATTAAATTTTGCAATTTAATCAAAATGAAAAAAATGAAAACGACAAAATATATTTAATTATTAATTAAATTGGTATTAAAATATGATAATTATGGGAAGTGGTTAAATGAGTTGTTTTGGAATTGACCAAACATCAGAAGTAAGAAATCCTCGGTAATGGTCCAAACAGAATTTAACAAGAAAAGAAGAAAAAAAAACAACAACAACAACAGAGGGTGGCAGTCAACGACACGTTTCCAAGAACATCTTCTTCAAGACCCAACTTGAATGCACAATAAAGCTTAACTAACACCCATATATATATATAGATATATATATACACTAATAATAATAATCACTTGTTTTATCCACAAATTGATTTAAAATCTTTTTTTTTTCCTTTGATTTTCCACTTTAATGCCCCATTTTGCTGACTTACACTCTATCCATTCACACTATGTGTTCACATTGATTCGGAAAAAAAAAAAAAAAAAAAGTGGGTAAGAGAGATGTCCATTTAACCTATGAAAAGGAAGAGATTTTATTTTCGTTAACTAAACTGTATGTCTACAAAAATTCTGAAAGTTTTTCGTGAGTTATTCTACCAACAATGACACCCCTATAGAAAAACGAATCTCACCTTAGAATAACGTTGGATCTATCTCCTTTGCACGTACCATTGGGAAACGCTTTGACATGGGTTTTTCGTGTGGTTGATAGCAGTGGATGCGCTCTAGACACCAACAAAATTGATATCAGAAAAAAAGAAAATAGGTCTAGAGAAAGAGAGAGAAATTTGTTAGATATAAGTGTATGTATATGAATGAAATTAATATTACATATAAAGATAAATTTATCTTTCTGAAATTTATATTACATGATTGAGATGTCTTAATTCATATTTGTTTGAGTCATGACGACTACATTTGGGGCGCACTCCCGCCAACTCAAGCAAGGATATGCTAATGTTAGTTTTTGCTATAGTTTGTCCTATGAGTTCCAAGCCAAGTCTGAGAGAAGAACAAAAAGCCCCGAGTGGGATAGCCCACAACCATGAGGTATTCTTTGTTTGACATGCTTAGTTGAGTCTTAGAGACCACAAGAGAAGATCCGTGAGTGAGATAGCCCATAAGTAAAGCCTAGTTTCCATGTTCATTATGAAGCACATTTATTTTCAGCAGGTCAGTTAGCAACTAGTCCACGTTCAGATCGTCATCAGAACGATGTAGAGATTAAGTATGAGAGAAAGTCACAATCCATGATGTGAATTGTAACCCCTAAAAAAGTCATAAAGGACGATGACTAGTTTAAGTGGGGGAGTGTCACAACCACAGTATGGACATAATAGGTTGTGACCCCACACACAGATAGATAGGTAGCAACACTCAAGTGGCGTCTATCTAGCAATGTAAGAACCAAGATAAATAAGTGTCATGAGGCAACCATAGAGGAAGGTGCATCATCCAACATACCAAAAAGAGTGAGAATTAAAGCAAAGCAAAGGAATAAGAAAGATTGGAAGGAACAATGATGATAAGAGTATCGAAGAACAGCTTAAAGATCGCTAGGTAGGTCTCTAGGCCATAGCCTCAAAAGTTTAGTTTTTTATGAGTTTCGAAATCAAGTTCTAGAGTTAAGTTTATCTATTTGAGAGATGAAGACTCATCAAATTTGATTTCAATTGGATACTCGAAAGATGATCCATGGGGCCTATGATCGCCCACCAAGATCATGTTTACATCAATCAAATCAAATATGCTCAAAATGTACAATAGAGGGAGGAATAGAATCAACGCTCCACTATCCTCTGGCCTTGTGACTTAAGTGAGCTTACCTATGGCATATACATGTGTCACAGTGTGGGTGAGCATTGTAAGACGAGCATTATGGATGTTTTCCTTTGAAAATGGACTTTTCAAGGACAGTTTCAGATTGCAATGGATGTGTTGACATTGCACCCTAGCCCATGAGTCGAAGTTTGGTATATGAGACCATTCTCTAATACTTGATTTGTAGATAAAGATAATTCATGGGCCAATAAGTGTGATCGAGAGAATAACAAGGATCAAGAACATCTTGAGATTTGGGATGACTTTGCAAAGGTAGATTGTGTTGGTAAAAATCAGGATGGTGAGATGAGATGCAACATTGTATTGAAAGGACCTTGTCCTAAAGTAGAGACAAGGTTGAGTCAAATGACTTGACCTAAAGTAGAGACAAGTCGACTAGAGTCATAATGAGTGAACATGCACGTCAGCCAATATAGAACTCCAACAATGACAAATACTTTACGAAAAAAACAGGGAAATGAGAGATTAAAAAAACTTATTGACGTGTAATTGAAAAAGTGTATAGTACTTTTTTTTTTTTTTTTTTTTTTTCTTTTGCATAATTGAAAGAGTTGGCTTTTGATTAATGGTCGGAAAGGGTTCACTCATTCTTTTTAAACTTTCTCATAAGTCAAATCTCATCATGATAACAATGTAAGCAAGTCTTCCTTTTCAAAAATTGATTGATAGAACTTTTCTTGATAAGGTTGAGAGTACTTGGTCATCAAAATTTTATAAAAATGAAAAAATTAAAAGTTCCATCTTTAATTGCTATATTCCTAAATCAAATATGATAATAAAGAATTTATTTAGAATGTCATTTTTTTTCTTTTTATTTTAAGAACGGATGACCCATGTTTGGATTTGACATTTGATGGCCCTCACATTTTCCTCCGTACTATGTGATATGGTCATATTACTTACCTCTCGAGTATCTCCACTAACTAACATAATTTCTTTCAGTATGATTGGTCTTCACCCACCTGATTCTAAAAAAAAAAAAAAAAATTAAAAAGGAAAAAGAGAGTGGAGAGGAGGCCATTTGACGCGTATAATGTTATGTTATTCTATGATGAAAGTTATGTTATGTGTGATAATATGAGATGTTTGTATTATGTTATATATTTTGCGGTGACTCTCATGTTGTATGATGCATGACAGGAGGTATGACCATCTCGTCCATAAAAATGGTAATATAACAAACCATAAAAGTGATACTAAAAAAAGATTAAAAAGGAAAAAAAAGAGTGGAGAGGAGGCCATGAGGCTAATAATAGAAAAGGTGAAGATAGGGTGAGAAAGATACAAAGAAATTGATGCCGAAGAGGAAGCAAATAAGAAACGAATCCGATTATGATGGGGCATCCAACAGCCCCAATCCAACATGGGTATGGGTATGGGTATGAGCATGGGTATATAAAGGCCAGCAGGGGGAAGGGGAAAGACTGGCAAGGAAGATCAACACAACCGAATGCTATAGCTCCACAACACAAAAAATAAGAATTCAAGACATTATGGCGTTGTGTTGTGGTGGGCATAGCCATATTGTAAGTGCATTCTTTGGGGTAGTGGCCATCTCCCTTCTCCTTCTACTGCCCGTCCCTCAGGCTCAGGCTCATGCGGCTGATCCCAACGCCATAACAAAAGCCAACCCATTGGTTAACCATGGCGGCCAAATGATGAAGGGAAATATTAACCTTGCGCTCGTGTTCTACGGTCAGTTCGGGCGCATACAGAAGAACACACTCAGGTCTTTCCTGGGGTCCTTGAACACCAATGGCCGAGTCGGGGTCGGGGGTGCCCCACAGGTGTCCTCCTGGTGGCGCATGCTCAGCTCTTATAACCCCACCGCTGGGAATATTAATGTGAAGGTGGTCAAACAATACGCGGATCCCCAGTACTCTCTTGGAAAAATTATGACCAAGGATTTCATCAAGATTCACGTGCAGAAAGCTGTGGGTGAGTTCCCTGGTGCGGTCACCGTTATCGTTGCGGCTAGGGACGTGACCGTGGACGGGCTGTGCATGGGGAAGTGTGCAGAGCATGGAGTTATTGACGGGGCGCCGTACGTGATCATTGGGAACCCTATGACCGAGTGCCCAGGAGCATGTGCATGGCCTTTCTACAAGGCTGACTACGGCCCAGGCGGCGCTGTTCTGAAGCCACCCAGCGGGGACATCGCGACCGACGCCATGGTGATATCACTGGCCTCGGGGATGGCCTCGGTGGTAACCAACCCCTTCAGCACTGGGTTCTTCCAGCTGGGGCAGAAGGCGAGCGTGATTGAAGCCTCCACCGCGTGCCCTGGGATGTTCGGCAGTGGAGCCGCCCCTGGGTACACTGGGAAGGTGTTAGTTGACCCCCTGAACGGAGGCGCTTACAATGTGGTTGGGTTAAGGGGCAA